TTACGATTCGACAGATGTATCTTTTTGTTAACAAATTATTATATTAAGATATAGGTAACGTAAACGTAAGTAAAAACTAAACTTAAGTACGGATCTGTAATTTGGTATGTAGAATTCCAAACAATTTTGTAGGAATTAGAAAGAATTCGAAACAAATTATTTTAAATAACTTTACTTTAAAAAATAGATTATAATGGTACACTAAACATATAAGTGACAACACAATTATTGTGAACTGAATTTAACAGTTTTTTTTTTCGTTCTTCTTAGCCAATTATTGACTAGAAATACTATTATTTAAATTGTTAGAATCTATCAATAATGTTTAATGTTCAATGTTATCAATTTAAAGATTATCCAATACCCATTCATACTTCTAACTGTGAATAAATCCGTTCCTGCAAATGCCAAAAATAAGTTTTTAGTGACGCGTGCGTTGCTTTAGAGAAAACACAAATATTTAGATATTCGAGCAGTATAATGTGATTTTAAATAATGTTTAATTAAATATTAATGTACATAGTTTAAAATAAAGTTTGTTCAAATGAAACTTCTAATGAAGCTTAAAAAATCTATAGAAGAAGGAAGTTGTAATAGTGTAAGTTAAATATTTAAATTGATCTAAGGTATTGTTGTTGATTAATAAAGAATTACTTTACTTTTAATAATTTTGACATCAAAGATTAGATAAAGATGTTTTTTATATGTAATTCTAGAGTTAGCCCCTTTTTTAGAAAAGAACTGTTTTAATTTTAAAATCAAAATATGTAAACTATTAGAATGTAAACCAGATAAGTAACCTTTATGTCTAAAGTATGACCTGATACCATACTCACTTTTCAATTGACGTTTTTATCTACATAGGTTTTTCGATCAGCTAATTAAAATTATTTAAATCATTTTAAATGCATGTATCTCAAATAGTATTTGAGATATCAGTGTCCGGTTAACAGTGAACACCTTTAAAAATATTTAACCCAGAGCACACGTCAATCCAGTGGATGTATATTGAAAGTTCCTTAATGGACATGTCGGTTGTCCAAAAGATGTCCAGCATTTTACCGATGGGCAATCCAATGGACATCCATTGGACATCCAGTGGACATCCATTGGACTATACAAATGCCTCCTTATTTTCCATATTTTTTATATTTTTAAAATATTTCATAAACTTTGCATTAACTATGATTATTAACTACACAAATGAAGTCCACACAAATTGGAAAATACACAGAAAATTTAACAACAATACAAATAGACGCTAATTTATTAAGTTTTTAGTTATATTTTATAAGAATATTATGGGGTCTATTCTGTAACAATTCCTTTATATTTAACGGCCTTTAAAAATATTTGCGGCCTATAAAAACATGTTCGTATTCGTTAATTTACTTCTATCATTATTTAAACAGATTTCTTTAAGATAGTCCTCTAATGTATTTTAAAGATCCGTTTAAATAGTGACCGAATTAAAGAAGAAAATATTTTTAAAGGCCGTTAAATATAAAGGAATTTTTACAGAATAGACCCCTATGTCTATAGAATCAATAATTATATAATATAAATATCTTAACCTGATGTTGCGGTCAAATCTAGATATCGAGCAGCATGCTATAAATAGTCGATATATTTTGTTTTGAATAATTGTACTCATAACGTGTAAATAACTAAATGATTGTGTTTAGTTAAAAATTAAAATAAATAATCACTAATATTCCAGGAACGCGCCAATTTCTATTTACGATGTTTTCACTTGTTTTCAATTTATGACGCATTCACGGAATAGTTTTTAAGCTTGATTTGAAGTAATCATACAATACGGTGGTGCAATATTAATGTTTTGTACTTGTATTTTTTGTTCTTCAACACAGACGATAAGAAAAGGTATACAGGGTGTCCCAAATTGTTTTACCCAGGCTATAACTTCTAAACCATGCAAGATAATCGAACCGGACAAAATTCATGCAATAAAATTGGCGGTGTACTTTGAAACAAATAAAAATTTGATGACCCACCCTCAAAAACTACCCCCCTGGAACAACCCCCTCAAAAATTATTAACGATACCCTAATTTTTTTCTGCTCATTTTTGTAGTCGCTACTTTTCTCTGTACAACTGTTTTTAAAATTTTTAAATTGATCCATAAATAAGTGAGATTCGTTTTTTTTTTAATTTTCATCAAGTTGCTTGCTGTCAAATTCATGGTAAGTTTTCTAGCGCATTATAAACAATACTATATCAATCTGTCTCTTGTCAAACATAAGTGCAGCTTAAATACTCGATAAAATAAGCAGTTTTTACTTGATAAAGTTTGCAATAATTTAGAGTTTGTCAAATTCTAACAAATTATTTCAAAATGCCTACTGTGTTTAGTTCCACCGAATACACCGATATGATAATTATTTACGGCGAATGTCGCAAGAATTCAAGACAAGCTAGACAATTATACTATGAACGTTTTCCGAATAGAACAATTTCCAATTTAGAAAGAAGTCTTACGCAAGGGCATTTTCCTGACGGTAAACATCATGGAGGACACGACAGAATGATTAGAAATGAAGAAAATATTATACACGTTTTGGCTTACGTTCATGTAAATCCACATGTTTCTATCAGAGATTTGGCACTCGAAATTGAAATAAGCAAAAGTAGCATCCAAAGAATATTAAAAGACAATAAATATCATCCTTATAAAATATACTTGGTCCAAGGTTTACACCCTAATGATCTTGAAAGACGCTTAGACTTTCTCGCTAGAATGCAGGTGAAACTAAATGACAATGTCACATTCTTAGATAAAATATTATGGAGCGACGAATAACGTTGTATGGTGTATTAAATCGTCATAATTCCAATTCCATAAACGTATGGTGTATTTTGTTCAATGGTAGGATTATAGGTCCTCATTTTTATGAAAACACTCTAAAGGAAATATATCGTCATTTTTTAATCAATACCGTTCTTGATTTGTTGGAAAGTGTTCCTCTTAATCAAAGAAGTGATATGTGGTGGCAGCAAGATGGTGCACCAGCTCATAATGCACAAATTGTGAGCTAATATTTGGCAAACACTTATGGAAACCGTGTTATATCCACACATTCTCCAATTATCCAGTGGAAAATTGATATTAAAGTAGTTAGGATGAACCGAAAATTCTGAAAATCAATAGGGTTCTAAGTTAGAAGTAATTATTCAAGAAAATCAAAACCGCAAGTCAATCAGAACTTTCGTAGAGTTATCGTGCCGGCATACATACACACAGACGATCAGACTATTTTTGCATTTTTGGACTCAGAATGATCGAAAACATGAAAAAAAGTTTTAAAAAATGGGGGTAAGAAAATTTTTTCGTCTGTACAAATGCAGTACTGAGGCCCCATAGGAAGGGCCTCAGTAATATAGTCATTAAACATCTGCTTCTCAGTCAAATTTTCTCTCAAAGGTTCCAAAGTTATACGTTGACCTGCAAATAAGTATGTATTTATATTATTGTAGATATTTTTAAAAATGTTTTTGGTATTGCCGCAACAAGGTGTACCAATTGCCATAATGACATTTCTTCTCCATAATTAGGCATTCCAACGACCTGTCAAACAATAGGTGCCAGTGGGAAATTCTTGTATATCTAAGGGGGTAGCGACATAGTATTGCAACTTGGACGCTATTTTTATTCAAAGTAGTAGTCGCCAAGCCTGCCAATTTATGAAGAAATGTATAGGTGGGTTTTTTAAATATTATTTTTATTGTGTTTGACATAAAATATTTAAATGTAATCTATTATTCATGATTTTACGTAAAGTAGATAGAATTAACATAGCCCAAAAAAAGAAAAGAAGAAGAAGTAGATAGAATACACACCATATGTCGCCACCCTTAGATATACCAAACCTGCCCACTGGTAATTCATTTGTTTGGAATGCCTAATTACGAGTTTCATGGACGTGCAGAATGTCAAAATTATTTAATGTCACTGAGTGTCAAGTATGTTTTTTTGAGTAATAAACATGTAATACAATTTTTATAAATTTTATATTATCAAGAATAACACGTGTATGAGCTAATTAATTGAATAAATTCTAAAATTATCAAAATAATCACACTCATATAATTTGGTTTTTAGTAATATGATTATATTCATGAATGCTCCTGAATATTCGTGACATTTGCATATTATTAGCTTAATTAGGGCCATTTGAATTAGTTGGTAGTACTCTGATGAAAGACCAACGTCATTGTTGACGTACAACGGGATTTATATTATACAGATTTTTTGTGAGAATTGGGACGTGGTTTTCAACTGGTATTATAATATGGCCACAACGATCAACTTGTAACCGGATGTTTATATGGAGTAACACCTCAAGACAACCCAAGAAATATGTTCAAAGTCAAAGGGCCACGCATATACCAACTATACAAGAACCAATCTAACCAAAAAATTGGAACAAGTCCGAAAGAAAGGAGCTACGTGATCGATTGCGCCTATTTTTTTACTTGATGACTTTTTCTGAGGGAAGAAACTATCTAAGTAATATTAAATAATCCATAGTGGTCATACAATTTGTCCATTACACAAAAAAAAAAACAGAAAACCTGGACTAAATTTCTTGCGTCATGTTTGTATATTATTTCATCTTTTAAAGTCCATATGTATAGCCGGTTACAATTCGATCGTTGTAACCATGTATATTATAAGCTATTAATCCAGATCAAGATATTTTATTTCACCGATTCGTTTAATTTATATTTAAATTAATATTTTAATTATCATATCATATTCTAATCTATTTCTGTTGCCATAAATGGCAACAGAAATAGATTAGAAGATAGAATATTATTTTATTATTAATAAATTTAAATGTACATTTGTAAAAAACAATCAGCACAAAGCAAATTGGAAACATGTATCAATATATAAATAAGAAAGTTAATAAATAAAATAAAAACTTTCAACAATATTTGAAATAATTTAAACTTATATTGAGTTTATTTTGTTACAGGCGTTAGCAGCGATATGTGCACACTCAGTATCTATTTCAATAGGTATATGTCAAGGGTATAGCGCAATTCTCCTCCCACAACTTAAAGAATCTGAAAATTACAAAGATTTAACACAAGACGAAACATCATGGATAGGTAAGATATTGGACTCTCATCATCATCATCATTATCATCGTCATCGTCATCATCATCATCATCATCATTCTCATTATCATTTTTAATATCATTAAGCCATTCGATCCTAACGCTTAAGTTTTCGTTCCGGTCTTCTATTTAAAATGTTTGTGTATCTTTTGTTTTATTACGTCAGCTCTTTATCAGACTGGTATCTGCAGACTTTCTCCTTCTCGCTTTTTCTGTCTAATTAAGTTTGTGTTTTTATGAATCTCGCCATATTTAATCCTTAAATTTCTTCTTATATTTGTCACTTCAAAATAACATTTTTTGAAACTAGATCCTCGTTGTATTCGATATGTTTTTCTAATGTTCGTTCTTTAGGCATGTTTGCGTGATCAGTTTTGGATATATTTGTTTTAAACTAAACAATATTGCCACTAAGGTAGAGAAATGTAGAACAATTAGAAGAAGATCCGAAAAAACCGGATTGGAGTTGAATCCTATATATTCCAGATTGCGGTTTATTCAAGCAAGCTACGACGCTCATATCATCTCATATTATGTCCGAAATTATATTTAAACACAAATATCTTTCTTGCAGAGTGCAAGGTAATAATTTTCAAAAGAGATCAGAAATGTTATCCCAGAAAAAAGGAAAATTAGAACAGCCTAAAGCACCAGATGATAAATATGCTAAAACAACTGCTGAAACAACTGCTAAAACAACTGCTAAAACAACTGCTAAAACGTAAAATAGGGCGCATTAAAAATAAGTCGATTAGCGAATACTTAAGTGCGTTACCTTACTATAAAAGTACAGTTTATATAATCTGGAAAGCTAACAAACGATTAAAAAGACCTACTATTCATAACCCACAAATCAGAAACAAAGATGGAAGCTGAACCCGAAACAATTTGCAAAAGGCAAACAGATTTGCGGAACATTTAGAGAGTACCTACCTTCCAAACCAATAATGGTGAAGATCTTTAAGATTAGATGGAACTAGCACAAGAAGACACAATCGTTAAAACTACCTCCCCAAAAGAAGTTTATATGGAAATTCATAAAAAGCCCCTGGACTCATTACCAGGGAAACTTTGATAAATACTTTCACGGAAAGCTATTGTCAAAATAGCTAAACTTATTAATGCGTCCTTTAGACTTAAGTACGTACCAAAGATGTCGAAGGTGGCAGAAGTTATAATGATACCTAAGCCAGGTAAACTTACTCGTTAGGTTACATCGTTCAGACCCATCTCCTTGCTGCCTGTTATCTCGAAACTCTATGAAAAATTGCTTCTTAAAACATTAAAACCTTTAATAGAATAAAAGTACCTAAGACCCTCCCACCACTTTGCCTTCAGAAAAAAATACTCGACCATCGACCAAGTTCATAGAATCACAGACATCATCGAGAAGTCCCTAGGAGAAAAAAGCTTCACCATCTTTTTGGGTGTGGCTCAGTCTTCCGATAAAGTATGGCATGAAGGCCTGAATAAAAAATTCTACATGTTTCTGCCACGTCAATACCAAGAACTGTTAAACTCTTAATTATCAGAAAGGTACTTCAGAATTAAATAGGAAGAAGTCTATTCAGACCTAGGAGAAATCAAAGCAGGAGTACCTCAAGGTAGTGTATCAGGTCCAGTACTTTACTTGTTGTATATCTATTTCTAATCTTGAGCTTAATACTATTGCAACATTTACTGATGCTAGTGGAATCCTGGCTGTTGAAAAAAATCACGAAGACGCTGATAGAAAATTGCAAAAATGTATAGATTAATACCTGGTCGAAAATATGGCGAAATAAATTGAATGAAGGCAAATGAATATATTTGTAGCCAAAAAGTCTGGCAACAAGTTATTTTTTTTGAAACGAATGAATGCATAATTTTGAAATTATAGGGTGATAAATCGGACTGCATTACATTATCATTATTTTTTCTGGTCCTATACATACATGGTAGCGAAAAAGAATGGTAACAAGGTATTTTTGGTTGATGAATGGGACTATATTACATTAGTAATGTAGTACTTTTGTAATATTCTTGAAATAAGGGAAAAATAAAGTTTTCTCTGATATATGAGCCGAGGAAAAGGGATCTAACTGCAATAAAGTAAATATTTATAAACCAAAAAATTGTAGGTAAAGTTTCATATAATATTTTTTACACAAAAATCAATATCAAGCTTTGTACATAACCTGATATGTATTTCAAAATAATCTTAATATTTGAAGAAAAGTCAGCTGACTATAACTAATGTTTATAAATGAAAACAAAACAAATATTACAATAACTAAAATATTCATTAATAGTTGCAGTGCTTGCAAACAGTACAAAGTTTTGAACCGAACTTAAGCGATAACATTATTGGAAAAAGTGAACACCATTTTTAAATTACCACAAGCCGCCACTGCTGAATTATATCAGTATTCCTCGTACAAGATGATCTAATTTAACAAAACTAATGTAGTAATAGCATAAAATAGCTGTATTTTTCTTCCATTATTTCAAGAAGTTACACATGTACTGATATTATTTTTACCTGATATATTATAATCAAAACATTTAATAAACACTTCTATATTTTTTGCGATCACAAAATATTTATCTTTCCTCGCGAAACACCCCAATATGAGTAGGTATATGAAATTATTACATTATGAGTGATATAATCAATTTAATGCTCAAATAGTTGTATTTTAGTATAAACATCAAGAATAGTTTCCAATTTGTACGCACCATAAACTGTGAACACTTAATCAACTTTTTTTGTCAATTAATTCGATACATATTTTAATACCTTTTACTTATTCTTAAATCGATATCACTACTTATCATGTAAGGTGTGTGAAATTGGTGATTTAACAAGAACCATTGCTCAATTATTTAAGTGTTAATAGATTTCACAGAACAGGTGTTCGTTTGTTAATTGAAATAAAACACTTCCGAAAAAGTGATCACTTTATGATTATAGTAAGTGAGCCAGTTAACCTAATACATTTTTTGGTGTAGTTACTTTTATTTTTACATGGTTCGATTTTTCTAAACTTCGCGCGTCTGTCCGGGACGACACTTACATCACCTTGGTAAATGCATTTTATTATTTTAGTGAAGTCAAAACAAATATAATAATTCCGATATTTAGCCCAAACAATTAATCGTTTAGGACAAGGTTTACCTGTGAAAAATTAGAATAAAGGTACAGATTGGTATAGGGGTTTAGGTTTTTTTTTTTTAATTTTCTATTTTTTGAAAACGCTGCACCAACGGCTAACATCAAATAAAAAACCTAGAGTACGATTTATAGATGACTTTCTAGACCAGACTGAGATTCACAGAATTTTTTGTTTTGTAGAGCACTTGCCATGTTTTTCGTTTATAGCTAATATTGCATTTTTGAAAATTCCTCAACTTCAAATATATTTTCACTAATTTTTAACTGTAGTGAGGTGTAAAAAAAGCAATAAAAAGAAATCATTAAGTTCTATATATTTATTAATGAAAATTAAATTAAAACGAACCAAAATGAAATTAAGTACCTATATATTACATAAAATCAACAAGTAAAAATAAACGCTTTTTAGTGGTATGGATAAATCTAGTGCTTTGATAATGAATTTTCAATATTTGGCATCAATTTAGTGAGGTTTAATCTTCTCTCAAATCTCCTCGGTAAATGATGTCTTCTGTATTTTTTTTTTTTTTTTGGTTGAAGATTGGCAACCGCTCTAAAACCTTTTTCCACTAAATATGAACAATTTTTTGAAATGTCACGTGGCACTGTTTGCCCTTAAGTCAAGTTACGTCTTAGCTAATCCTTAATCGGCAGTTGAAACGTGCATAGGGACACTTACTTATGTTGGACCATATACTATTTTATACAACGGAAATTATAATAATTACAGATACAAGGTGGTTTACTTCCAGATTTTTTTTAGATCCAAGATACGGTTTCGAATAACCGAATAACTTCTCAAGGTTAGGTACCTATTCTATTATTGTTTATCGTAGTGCAATAAATTATGATATAAGAATAATTAATATAATATATATGCGAAAAATACTTCCGGAAATATAGAAATGTCAATGAACTTTTTTCTATTTATCTCAGGACGAACGAAAATAATGAAAGGTGATCATTACTGTTATATTTTTTATAATATTTATATAATAAATAATATTTAATATCGTACAAATGTGACCAATTTGTATTAATAACATGTTTCCGGTTTTTAAAATTTGACTAAATTTATAATGGCACTATTATTCAACAAATTTAAAATATAATTAAAAGTAATAAGAATAAAACTACTCAAAATCGATGCCACGATAAAATCTATGAGTAAAAACAACGGAAGCAATCAGTTTCGGTCATCATCATCATCATTATCATCATCATCATCCCTGGTTTAATTTTCTGTCACCATTTACCCGAAGACTATTTTCATCTCTCATTCCTCTATTGATGTAGCTATGCTACTGTACCATTTTAAATTGATATACAAGTGTTTACTTAATTGTATTGAAATGAAAGTGAAAAAGGTACAAAAGTATGTAAAAAAATTTAGAATTAATAAAAATAAGGCTAAGCGCTTTTAAATTAATAAAGCCATCTTCATAGCCGTCGTCATTGATACCTTCCACATGGAGTCAATAAAATGAAACATAGAATTGTTAACAGCAAATACTATTTTGTTTTCCTTTTTTAACCTTTAATTAACCAATTGGGGTTGCCCCTAAATGTGTAACTATAATATTTCTTGTTAACATATTATTATGTTTCATTTGATTGACTCCATGTAGAAGTTATTAATAACGATAGCTTTGAAGATGGTTTTATTAAACTGAAAGCGCTTAGCCTTAGTTTTTTAATAAAAATTTTTAAATTTTTTACCATTTCCACTTTCATTTTATCAGTAGTGTGTACACCACTCTGTCATTTATTAATTATAGAGCACCATTTTTAAAATTTTTCTGGTACCGTCTTGTGTCGTCTGGTACCGTCTTGTATTACCACAATTTTTATTGATACCAACAACTTTGTAATTTGACTTCACATCATTAAAGCACCTAATGGATGAAATATGTAACATTTGAACTTTGTACCATTTTACATCATGTAAATATTATACACGTTAACTATACAGGGTGACCCGTTTCAATTTGAGGTACATATATGCAGACGTGTTTTGAATAAAAATTATATGGATTTGAAAAAAAAAACATATTTTAAAAATTTTTGATTATACAGACTATAATAAATTAAACAGAAAAGGGAAAAATTATACGGATCCCAATTGTTTAAATTACAGATTTATAAGGTACCAAGCCAACGAATAGAATTTTTTTTTAGTTTTACACCCTAATCTGTCTATAGCCTGGCGGCTTATTGTACTATCATTTGAAGGTCCTACTACTTTCTCAATTCCCTCCCTCATTCTTCGTCATCCATTCCACGTCGTCGATGGTTAAACGTTAGTGTCCCATGATGATAAGGCCCATGGTGGAACCTCCCTGTGGTCACCCATCCACGACGTGACTGGATAGATTACTGCCTGACTGTTAAGATTATGTGGATGCACACTACTCTTGCGGCTAACCTCTCCGGCCAGAAATGGTTCATTTTTACAGTGTATTAAAACCTGTCATAAATGAAGTTACTTTTAAGTTCAATTTGTTCATATATAACAGCCTTTATATTATTTTATTACTTATTCAAGGATACCAACATATACATATATGTTACGTCTATATCTATTTTTTCAAATATAATAGATATACAATATTTTATACTATCAATGAATTAATTAATTTCTTTACGTTTAATTTATGGAATATACAACTCATGAAACACATGTATAAACATAACGCAAAACATGTTACAATATAGGATAATTACCTCATTAAAAAGTAAAATTATCCACAAAATAAGTTGAATTGAAATTTGTAAAACTGACTAATTCTTGTTTTCTTTTATTGCAGCTAGTTTAGGAACTATAACAAATCCAATAGGGTCAATTTTGTCCGGTTTGATGGCGGAATATATCGGAAGGAAGCGTGCGATCCAAATTACAGCGTTGCCGTTAATTTTAGGTTGGATGTGTTTTGGATTAGCCCAAAACGTTAATTGGCTGTATGCTGGAAGACTAGTCACGGGAATTGCAGCAGGTTAGTAATTTTTTAAATTTTAACTACACGTAGTACAAAGAAGGTATACAAAAATTCTGCCTGTCATTTACTTTCCAGTTGTTAAAAGTGGTTCGCAAACTGATGACTACGTATCTGTAACATTTGGAGGGTGGGTTACCCCACGGCACTAAGGCCTTACTAGAGACATTGTCCATCCTTTTAAGTTGATAGGCACCTCTTAGATCGTGAGCCGGCATACATATTTGATGTGGTTGACGCAGATTCTGCCTAGTCATAGTCAAGTATTTTTTTGCTGTAGTGTTGTCAGGATAACTTAAAAGCTCTCTGGCAACTCTGCAGCTTCTCGTTACATCTCATCTTTCTTTAAATTTCACAAGGGAATATTTTCTAATTAGGCTTGTCACTACCAATGTCGTCAGTCCAATAGAAGGGCCAGGTCCAAAAACTATTTGGTTGGTTGCCTTCTTGGTAAGTGAATCAGCAAGATGATTACCTTTCGATGTCGCGTGACCTTTGATCCACCTTAAGGTGTTGTTGTTGGATACTTTGGTCAAAGCTTCGTACTATTCTAGTTTTTTAACCCTGAGTTAATACGTGGCCTATCCAAGGTTAGTAGTGCTTGTCTGCTATTTATATAGATGAGCATGTTCCTTCCAGTGATATTGTTTCTGGTAACTTCTTTTGCTGCTATGAGAATCACTATGAGTTTAGTTTAATCTAGACTGGCACTATTGCTCACAGCCCGTTTTATGTTTAGGTTTGGAGATCTGGAGTATATTCCACATCCTGAGCCTTGTTTTGTTTTAGAAGTGTCGTATCGATGTAGATATGAGTCGTACTTGCCACTTCCAGCTCTTCTATTTGTTCTGGTATAACTTTATATGGTTCATGGAAGATATATATTTCGGTGCGCTTTAAGCAGTGGAAGCGTATCGGGCCTCCTGCCAAAAGCGACGTCTTGCCTCACCAGATTCTACGTCAGGTTCTATTCCAACCGTGCAGAGTCGTTCTATTGTTATAAGAGCAACCTTCTTGATAGAAATTTCGAGGGTAGTGAGACTAAGAAAGATTTTCATGGCTTTGATTGATGTGGTTTTCATAGCTTCTGTTACGTTGAGCCATGTTTTTCTTTGAATTTTTGATTGATCCTCGCATTACTGTTCTATAATTTTAAGAACTACTTTATTCTTTCGCAAAATGTGTTCTTAAAATTCCCTATTTGCAAAACGACCAGATCATCTGCATAGGCTGTTAATTTGTGAAGAGACTGTCGTCATTGAAGCGGCTGATGGGAGTGTCGAGGACTACGTTTTACAGTTCCTGTGGACATACCCTCGCCACCAAGCCTCTCATATTCACATCTTCTACACTTATATTTACTGCTCGCTTTGAGAGCATTTTATATATCTACCCACTAACCATTTGTTAGTTAGTGAGGGATTAGCTTGGGAAAGATGTTCTTGTCAAAAGAACCTTTAACTCTTTATTATCCAGGAATCTCCTATCCGGCCAACAACTAGGTGAAGGACTTAATTAGCAGATCTGCCTGGGGTGTATGATATTCATGTTGATTTGGGTGTAGTGCTGTAATCACCATATCTCTTATGTACCTGTTCAAAGTCTTCATGGAAAACGATATCAAGCTAATTAGCCGGTGTGTTTTTGGATAGTATAAACCATCCTCTCATTTTTGCTATGTTCGTGTTGTCTTATCTTCACATATGCTCATATGTTTTCTTAATTGTAATAATTGTAATTGAAAGAAATGCTTTACTAGTGTTGATAGCCTTAGGGGAGGCGAATGCATTGGAGCAAGGGGTTGGTTTAAAATATAAATTATGTGTCATCATAGAGTGTAGATACAATCACAGTTTACTGAGGCTCGAGTCGAGTAGGTTCTCATTCGGTATGCTCAATCAGAACCTGCTTGTCCTTGCCTGCTTTCTGCCTTTGATCAAGTTCATTAGATTATTATGTCAAACTGAATACTGTCGCTAAAATTTTCACTTTTAATGAGAACTATACATAAAAAATGTATAATTTATAATTTATATTTTTTTTATTTTCAGGTATGTCACCTGCTTGCTACACCTACGTCGGGGAAATATCTTCATCGCAAAACCGAGGTTTTATGCAAACCCTAGGTCCAATCTGCGCATCTTTGGGAATTCTACTAACTTACACCCTAGGTTACCTCTTGCACTGGGCCACCGTAGCATACATAAGTATAGGCTTCGCGATCTTCTCAACAGTGGTCATGCAATTGGTTCCAGAAAGCCCTTCTTATCTATTGAAAAACGATCGACAAGCAGAAGGATTTACCAATCTGCTTTGGTTTAGAGGCAATAACGCTTTAGCTCAACAAGAGATAGACAGATTTTACAAAAACCAAAAGGAAGCGAATGACAGGAACATGAGCCTCATGGAAATGTATTTCGGACCGCAAACAGTTAAACCGTTTCTCATTTTAGTTGGGCTATTTGCATTACAAGAATTCTCTGGTATTTACACCCTCCTGTTCTACGCCGTTAACTTCTTTGAAGATTCTGATCTCAATTTTAATGAATATATAGCTTCGATAATAGTAGGAGCTATTAGGTTCTCAATGTCTGTGGTAATAGCTTATTTAATAAATATATATGGTAGAAAAATTTTATGTACAGCTTCTAGTATAGGAATGGCTGTTACTATGTCTGCTGTAGCAATCTATGTAAAGTATTACGAAATTCACTCCGATCAAGAAAAAATTTTCACTTCTTTGCCGTTGATAGGTATAATGTTGAATGTAGCTTTTAGTATGGTGGGAATGTTACCAATTCCTTGGGTCATGGTTGGGGAAATGTTTCCTTTAAAAGTAAGACCCATCATGTCCGGTGTAGTAGTCAGTATAGCGCAATTATTAATTTTTATTTGCGTCAAGATTTATAACGATATGAACAACGTTCTTAATTTTAGCGGAACTTTATTTGTATTTGTAGTATCATCAGTATTATCAGCCGTGTACTGCATGACAATTTTAACTGAGACTAAAAATAAGACGTTAGAAGAAATCGAAGCGCATTTTAGAGGCAGCATAAGAATTTCAGATAAAACTGCCGAGTTGCATGTAGTTAAAATTGACAATAAAAGCCTTGAAAATAAAGGCCTCGACAATGTAGCCTTCAATCATTCTTCTGAAGATATTAAAAATGTAAAAGACAGGACCGATACGGTTAGTGTAAAGGTTGCCACTTAGTTCAATTTTATTTAAATATTAAATAAGCAATTTTGTGATTCCTATTAATTTAATTTTTTAAGTATTGTTTTTTATTGTGATTCTTATAGAATCCCTTATTTATTTGTTATATTGAACGTTTTTAATAGAACAATATATTTTAAATATTTTTGCGTTTTATTTTTCCGTTTTGCCTAATTTGTCTCAAGAAGCTTCAAACAGTCCTAGACCTAAAACAAATTAATGTGTGTTTTTATTTCTTAAACGCATTTCACTAAAGAGGCATACATCAAATTTAAAGGATACAGAGTTTATACACCATACAATCCGGATTACACAAATGAGGAGGAAGCATCGTTATAGGTTAGGTTGGAAATGAGTGGTACGATCTCATCGCCTTTCATTACGACTTAGAAGGATCTATTGTTTCTCATGTCTAACTCATAGTTCACCGTTTAAGTCACGGCCTTTAATGAAGACCATGGTTTAATTGGGTGAGACTTGTTTAAAGTCGGTGAGTTCCAGTCGGGTGAATCTGAAAATCTGGAACCTACTTATTTTCAAAGCAGCGCAGGTATATGGGATGTGATCTAAAGATTCGTCCTCACGCTACAGAATCGACAGCATAATGTTTATTGCAGACACATCCTTCTCATGTGTTTACCTCCAACTCCAAGACAGGAGGCTGGAGAGTGACGTCCACCTCCAAAATACGAGGATGGACATCGTAGTTCACATAAAACCGACATGTACTAGCGAGGCAAGACGATCTCTGGTTCTAAGCAAAATGAGGAAGGCGGCTAAGTTTAAGGCAGGTAGAGCTACGGCAACTGTCGCCAACAGGATACACTGCAAGGGATTCGGGTAAGAATAGCGTAGTTTAAAAGGAATGGGGCTCATTCTAATTAGTTTTTACACTTAGAGGTTACAACTTTGTCAAAGTAGTAAAAACAATGGAAACTAAAAAAATACAGCACTTGAAAAAATGAATCGATGAATCTCACAAATGCTCGCTAGCTGTCTATTATATTAAGAGCTGTCTTCGTTCTTCATTACAGCTTGCGAAGTTGGGTAGTTTTACAATACTCCACTAAGCAGCCCAATCAAGCCTTTGGGTAGCGATGCTAGTCCAGCCTCCTCAAGAGGCCAGGAACACAACACAAGCAAGGACAAGAAAAGGCCGTGATCGGTTACAACTCTGAGGAGCAACACACTAGACTACCCCTCTCCCTTTCGGAGCAAAGGATAGTCAAACACTAACCTCAAATACTGCCCAAACTTCAATGGGAGATCGAGAAGCAATTAAAGAGATAACAATTATTATACAATGTAAATTGCATCACAAAAGGTGATAAGCTGTAAGATACAAATAGCACTCATCCAGGAACCCTGGATAATACAAAATTGAAGGTTTAAAAAATTAACATGGTTCTAGTTTTAGCTATCCTAGCAACCAATAAACTAGAACAACCATTTACATTCCTAATAAATATAAAGCCACCTCCGATTTAACTGCTTTTAGGATGGAATATGCCATCAAGAGCCAAAGAACGTTTATCCTGGCATCTGCATGCCTCCTCTCCGAAGAAACCACGCCACCACCAAGCACAGAAATGGAGGATCTGATCAAATACTACCTGAACCAGACTTTTGAGCTGGTTGGTTGGTTGCGACTCAAATGCTCACTTTAGTTGGGGCAGTAAGGATAACAACACTGTATAAATATGTAATTACCAATCTTTGTATTTTAAATACAGGTACTACATTAACATTTTTAAACTTTGATAGTCAAACACTAATAGATATTACTTTATCCATAACTGATATTTATAAATCAATTCTAAACTGGCAGGTGTCTGAAGATATTTCGATGTCAGACCACCGCTGGTTAACATTCAAAATAAGCTTGATGTTGGCGACCTCTATGTTATCTCGGAACCCTAGGAAGACGGACAGAGCAACCTATATTCACCTTCTCTAAGAGGCTCTGAGAGAGGTAGAGGCCGAAACACCAAAAAAAAACAACAATGCTTTGGAAAAGTACTCGAATATTATCTAAAAAACAATAAATAATGCCTCAATAAACAATGCCTATAAGAAATTCCACACGATGATTGTGTCGTCGAATTGGATCACCTCAGGAAGATGGCTAGAAAATCTATTATTAAGGTAAAAACCACAGAACTCGAAGAGGACTGAATATACTTACATATCTCACCTCAGAGAGTTAAAAAAAAAATGTTAGACAATGGAGATTCTACTACGAAGAACTCGAATATTTCCTGCAGACAGCGAAGCTTCAAAAAGCCCTCTTAAAAAATCCACACCTCAGTATTGGTGCGTTTATCAAAGAGGATGGCGTGAAAACTGCCAACCTCAAATATAGTATCAAACTTCTGCAGTCAACACACTTTCCTAACTTGAACTCGTAAGAATACAGCGGATCGGCAAATTGTCATACACATAGACATTGTAGACGATGACAAAATTAGGTGGGCAATATCTAACTTCTCTTAGTTTAAATCGCTAGGACCTGACGGTATTTATCCAGCCCTACTTCAGTGGAGTCTGGAAGAACTTACGCCGCACCTGGTAGAGAGGTAAAAGTAGTATTTTTACTCAAACCTGAAGGAATGGATTAGACTCTCCCAAAAACATACTGACCAATAAGCTTGACATAGTTTTCCATGAATAGGTAAATAACACACAACACCACTACACCCAAATCAACATACAAACACCCCAGGCAGATCTACTGATTCAGTTCTTCACCTAGTTGCTGACCGGATAGAGAGATCCCTGGACAATAAAGAGTCCGTTTTGGGTGTTTTCAGAGACATATAAGGTTCTTTTGATAAGACGACCTTCCTGAAGATATTACACCCACTAAACAACAGGAATGTCCCACAGATGATTAGTGGGTAGATACATAACATGCTCTCAAAGAGCAGTAAACATAAGTGTAGTAGATGTGAACATAAGAGTCTTGGTTGTGAGGGGATGTCCATAGGGTGGAGTGCTATTACATCTACTGTGAATCATTATGGTCCTCGATACCCTCTTTAGCCGCCTTAATAATGACAGTCACTATTCAATAGCGTATGCAGATGACCTGGTAATTCTGCAAACAGGGAATTTTAAGAACATACTCTGAAAAAAAATGCAAGTAGCTCTCAAAATTATAGAACACTGGTGCAAGGACCATTCACTGTCTATCAATCCCAGGAATATAGAAATGGCCCTTTTCACAAGGTAAAGGATGAAAATTGAATCAAAACATCCACAGCTAATAAATACAAAACTAAACTCTGCAACAGAAGTGGATTACTTAGGTCTCACCTGTGACAGCAAGTTAATATGGAACTCACACCTAGAAAACAGAGTTAAAAAAGCATGCATTGTTTATGAATACCTGGAATCTCCCCCAGATTAGTCGCATGGACTTACATGGCCATCATAAGACCTATACGGACATACAGGTTGTCTGGTTACCGAAAACTTAAAAATGGACAGCTATTCGGAAACTAGAACAAATTCAAAGAACAGCGTGTCTTAACATAACAGGAGTCATGGAAACCACACCGACCAGAGCCATGCAAGTTATTCTTAGTCTCATTCCCCTTTATATTTACAACAAGGATGACAATCACACGCCTCTGCACGGTTGGAATATAACCTGATGACGGATCTGGTGAGGCGAGACACCGAGACGTCGCTTTTGGCAGGAGGCGCTCGATACGCTCCCACTACTTCAAACGAACATGGACTCCACTCAGAGATAACAGGAGATGTAACTACTAACAAATATCGTGCGGTCCTAAATAAGACATATTCTAAGGGACACAGGAGGGTATAATATCCGCTGTTGTCATGTGCCTATTTCATTATTCTCGTTTTGTTCACAAAATTATTTACATATATTAAAAAAGCTAAAATAATTCGACCTATTTTATTGCAATTGACCCCATAAAAATTTTGAATTATTAGTTATTATATTAAATTTAACTAAATTATATGTAATTTCACTAAATTGGATGCAATAATTTTCAATAAATTCAAAAATTTGTTAATGTTAAGTTAGAAGTGGCAACAGGGCTTAAACCGGCAAGCATATGTACGTTGTTTATTATAAGCGCACATCGCTTAGTCATAGATAAAATAAAGTTGTATCTGCGTAAAATCCTTCTTTGTCCCGTCTCTTACTTCTCACCTTTCGTCTCCTCGCCGCGGACCTACAAATGGACTCCATCTCACCGAGATATATCTTCCATAAGCTATATAAAGTTATAATGGAACAAATAGAACAGCCAGAAGCGGCAGATACGTTTCATATCCACACCGACGGTTCTAACCCAAAACAAGAATGTTGAATATACTCCAGTTTCTTAAACCTACACATAAAATGGTTTTCGAGCAGTAGTGTCAGTGTAAATCAAACCGAGCTTACGTGGATTTTTCATAGCAGCAAGAGAAATCACCGGAAGTAATATCACTAGAAGGAACAAGCTCATCTATATAGACAGCAAATAACCACTACTCACCCTGGACAGATCATAAATTTACTCAGAGTTAGTTCTAGAATATCACGCAGCTTTGGTCACGGAGCTTTAGTCAACTTGAGATGGAATAAACGTCACGCCATATCGAAAGGTCTTGTTGACTCGCTAGCCAAAAAAGGCAGCCAGCAAAATACTTTTTGTACCTGGCCCTTCTTTTGAACTGACAACATTGGTAGCGACAAGCCTAATTAAAAAACATTCCCTTGTAAAATTCTAGGAAAGATGGGATGAAACAAGAAAGTGCAGACTTGCCAGAAAGTTTTTAAGTTATCCTGACAACACTACAATAAACAAATACTTGACTGTGACCAGACAGAATCTGTATCTGATCACAGGCATTGCCAAGTACGGAAGCATCTCCATATCATGGGGCTGTCAGAATCCGCAGGGGGTGCCAACAAGAAGATGAGACCATGGATCATATCCTCTACGTTTGTTCGACGCTCTCATTTATTAGAAAATTTGTGTTTACTAACACTGGTCGATATAAGATAAGCACAATGTGC